ATTTGATTTGGAAAAAGCATCAAACTCCACTTCATCTACAAAGAACACAGTTTGAAGCAGTGGCGAGTCGGCGAACCCGTTCTCGCTTTTTATTCTATACGGAATATGACCACAGCAGATCGATAATATGCACTGTAGCATATAGCTTTTTATTTAGCGTTTCAAAAGTTATGTATTAGATTTATGTAAAACGTGTCATGTTAATGCAGCTTACGTTGTGGCATGCATGTATTTCTGAAATAAGCAGCCTTGTTGTAAGTGATGCAAAAGAGAATATGTTCTTAAAATTTTTAATTCCATCACTGGTTGGAGGTGAGTCAAGCATGATGTTTTCATACACAAGCTTGAGTTTTAGTGCTTTTCAGGTAAAAGATAAAAATAACACCGAAAAGAACAAGCATTGAAAATTAATACTCCTGTATTAACTTGTGTTACTTAGTTGATACTAAGCTATTATATGACTTTTGTTCAGACATGTTTGTCACACGGTGGGAGTATTGGAGTATTTGAAAAAGCATCTAATAAAATGTGTGCAGTTGCAGTCAATTTCATTTATAGAAAGCAGGATCGGCAACCAGAGCCGGCCGAAAATACTCCTTCGGAAATTAAACAAATTGAAAAAGTACGAACTTAATAACTGTTTTATATTGTTATATTCAGGGCCCGTCTTTTTTAATGGTTCACACCAGGGGTAGGCAACCCTTTGTTGTCAAAGTTAAGGGTTACAAATCTTGGCGGGCCGTACACATTTTTTTAAAAAAGTTGAAAATCGAACAGGTGGCTGATGAATCACATTTTTTAGACAGATCAGAAGTTGAAATTGTAGATTTTAATTAAAGCGATCGAACCCTGCGACGACTTGTGGACTCAAGTCGTCTTACCACGCAAAAATTTTACAAATGACATTTAATGTGTCACTTGTTGTTGCATTACGCTTGTTAGAATGCTAGAGAGCGCAATGGAAGTTCTCGCGGGGTTTCCACGTCTGCACCAATTGCAAGGCTCTTTTAAAGAAAGTCTTATGACTCTTAACAATTATTATTGACGGAAATATTTTTTTTTTTAAAGGAGTCGATATGTTGTGGAGAATGAAAGCCTAAATCGGAATTGGGAAATAAAAAGGTAGGGGATCACTGATTCTAGATGAAGCATTTTCTTCGGTATAAGAAAGTTCATAATCAGAATGTCAGACGACGTTACCCGGGCGACTTTGACGTAGCTCGCCTATTTTAATCCCATCCTACTGAAAGTTATTTGCAATTTTCACGGGTCTAATTGAAATGAAAATGTGTATTCACAGTTTACACTCGCCGATTTCTACTTCTTCCAGTTTGGAGATTTCGTATTACATGCGTGAAACAATATATTTTTGAGTGTTCCAGAATTAATGAAAATGTACGAAAAAAGAAAATTCCTTGCAAGACTGTCGCATCGTTTGAGAAAAATAAACAGTTAAATCTCTACAATTAAATGTATTGGAATATTATGATCATCCCGGAAATAATAAGATAACTCAATAATGTTAATTTAAAATCATTTTTTCATTTCGCTGTTGTAAACCATACGTCCAAGTCATATGCATATACAGCCTACATAATTTGTTTAAACTACTTCCATGGTTCAAGTACAGTCAGACAGCTACGAATGTAACACATCTATATATAAATTATTTATTAAAATAGTTCATTGGCCTCCCCTCAGTTTCCCACTGGAACTCCCAAACACCATCAAATTCGTGTTCTGTAACGTAGCAAGTTCGACTACCAGGTTTAAAATGCAAATTGCTGGGTTTCAAAAATGGACATTTGATTCTGGCTTCTAAAACTCCAGTTGCTGAAAAAACTTCAATGTGACTGCTTCCATGATGTGTTACCAGCAGTCGTCCACGATTATCAAAATCTATTCCATCCGGCCCGCCAATTTTCATAGGATTATTGTATACAGCTGAAAAATGATGCTGGCAATAAATTGAAATTAATGAGGACAATGTACAATGACTTTTTTTTTTGAAAAATCACTCCTTGGCATTTGCAGTGAGACAAACTCGTGCATACTATTTAATTAATACTATTTTGCTCTATTCGTTTGCGGGAGCTTTTATTGCTTGCTCGGAATTACCCTAGTGTGCACAGAGCGTTCAAAATCATCAATGCGTTACCAGCAACAACGGTTAGGGCAGACGATCTTTTCATGCATGAAACGGGTCACGAAACTGTTGCGTTCAACAAGGACTTTGAGCCTTTCAGGTTTGTGTGTTATTCATTGCGATCGTGAAAGAATCGACGACGGAGGGAACAATCGTACAGTATAGTTACTAGCTTATCTAGTGGGAAGCGACGAATGAACTTATGTAGTGTTATAATTATGTATTTTATTTTTTGAATACACATTTGAATTAGATTTATATTAAGCACGGTAGAGGTTTAAAGTTGTTAAATTTGCTAGATGACAATATCGCTGCTAGTTTGAATATCCACCTAGCGGATAAAGCAGCGTGAAAATTAACTGTTTCGGCATTGCAGATTACACGTTTGGAGTTCAAATCAAATACCCCCCTCACCGAGGGTGAAAATACATTGGGTAGGCAATGCCGAACCGCAATGATTACGATCTATTCAAGTAAATAGTATAGCTTCTTTCGTATAGTCAGATATCAGTGACTCTTCTACCTGGCCTTGTTCGGAACAATTTGCCCCCGTACCTCGCTCAAAAAGGTTCAGCTGGCAACGCCCTTGAACGATAAATACATATCGTCACGCTAATAATCGAATTGCGTAAGTCATTTTTGGCGAGTTTGAGTTTTTTATAAAATAGGTATTTATGTAGTGCTGCGCACCTGTCTGTTAACTGAGATTTTATTTTAAGAATTCCGAAACCCATAAAAATGGAGATTTAGTATGACATGTACATTTGTGCAATTGTTTCGTCATAATGAATTATCCTTGTTACCGCATGACTATCATGACGTCATAAAGGCAAATTAACATCGGCGAAGTATTTTCGAGTTTTTGCATCTCGGATTCTAGCTTAGCGCGTATTAATTTGAATTTATACTGCAGTATAGGAAGACGTGCACTTGCGATATTCACTGTCCGAGTCCAATTCACCTTGGTCGGCTTTTATATTGGGTGCATTGCTGTTTTATTCTTTGTATTTAATCTTAGTCTTATTTCGGTGGGGGTGTAGAACGTGTTATATTGACGAAATATATACTTTTAAAAATAAAAAAATAATTTAATTGAAATCGATTAGGTATTTTGATGATTGGACATTGTAATACAAAGTTTGACATCAGGCAAATTATTCAGCCTAAACTTTTTATTCTGAATACACATATATACATTTTTTCGAGTTGAACAAGATGTTATGTTCAATAGGATATTTTTCACAGATGTTGAGTAAGCGTTGGAGGCCTTTGGCTGAAGATGAAATGCAACACATCAAAAATATGATTGATAATATTGTTATTTGCTACACATCCAATGGTCTCTTGATTCCACTTAACAGAGAGGTCATCCATGAGAAGAGCATATAAATATGGACTTAAGATACTTGGAAACATTATGGACATGGAACGGATCTGACACACTGCTACCCCATCTAACAAACATGGATTGATAACGATGTATGTGTACAATCAGCGACAAAAATATTTTAGGGATTCTTCTGTTGATTAATTTACGAAATAGAGTCCAATGATCAACTTTATCAAAAGATTTAGTGGCATCCAAAAAAGCTATAAAAACTGGTGATGATTTTTTAGAATAATAAGTAGCTAGCTGCTCTATTGTGTCTTGCCATATTAATTTGAAAGCAACTAATAAATGTGTTTTTGTGTATTTATAGTAATATTCATAAACAAGCTCTTTAATATTGAGCTTATTCTGTTTGTTATCCCATGATTCAGAAACAATGGTACTAATTTAATATATGTCGTAAAAATTTACGCACTGGTACGGAAGTTAGGACAAACGGCGTATCTGAATAAATATGCTTCAAGGTAAGGTTTGTGGGTGCTTTGTAATCAGTGTACATAAACACCATTGTGATCTAACAAAATACACATATTTGACTTCGAGATTTTTTAAATTACACTTTATCGATTACAGTGTTCATTGTCAATATATAGGCATGGATCCACCAATGAACACCAGACAAATAAGTAATTAAAATTTTGAGACGCGGGTTGCGTCTTTTCGCGTCAGGGGCGAATGCTAGATGTGGCAAACCTGCGTTCGACCGCAATCGACTAAAATCTTCAAAACAGCTCGCGATCAACTGGTCAGTAAAAAGGTCATACACAAAAACTAATGGGTACTGAATATCCAAATAACTGTACACACTCCTACAAAAAAATCCACCGCTGCCAATAAGCTCGGTATTTTTTATGTAATCGCCATAAAATTTGCATTTTTTATGTTCCATTCAATTTGGTAACTTGATTATGTAATTGTACTTGCAGTAAATGTTTTATCATTCATTCGAGATTTATTCAAATTATACGATTCAGATATGAGGCCTGCCAAACTCAGTCGTATGTGTTGAAAATTCCTCAAAACACCTTGCCTTGGAGTGAGACAATAATTTTTGCATACTGCAGAAGTTATTGTTGGATCATTTGTGAGTCTAAACACACGATATTCGAAACGTTCATTTCTAAACCTTGACAGCGACGAAATTTGCACTTCCTAAATTTACTCAACATCAGACGCGATCAACTACTCGAGACGTGGCGATCGGCGTGTTGGCCACACCTGGCGTATGCTATCTAGATGTTGCATCTACATTTTATGATATCGCTGGTAGTCGACACCTATTATGTATTAGTTCGTATATTGTTTCCTGCGGCGTTTTTACCTGTGAGAAATATGTAATTCTGTGCCATGACCAATTCTATACACAGTCCGAAATCATAGGCTCACGTCAAAATGAAATAAAGCCACACATACGGAGATTTTATCTGTTTATAATATAAGTTGCACCAAACTTAAAATTGCAAATAATACATAAACTGCAACTATAATGTGGTGCCCAAGGCTCTTGTATAGAGCGATTAATCGACGCCAACAGACATTCTAAGAAAAACACAAGCACGACAAAATTTTCCAGTTTGCAAGTTTATGAACATGTAAGATATGAATACACAAATTAATACAAAGCAAGAGGTCTGAATTGCTGTCACGTTTAGGGTGTACAACAAACACCATAGTATTTGCACAAGTAAGCTGCGTACATCAAAATAGGAGAAGATTTGCTTCTGAAATGTTTTACGGGAGGTGTACAGCACACTTTGTATGCCTTGCAATATGCCTGCGCCCTAAGCACAGCTTTAATCGGAACGTTTCGGGGTTTGGGGTGGGGATTCTTTGTTGTTTTCGGTGGTTCGGGATAAAGAGTTGGAGAGAATGACGATGCTACAGAAAGCTTTGGGGTGGAACTAGTAGCCGGGTAAAGTTTGGACTGGAATTTTGATGACGGACTTGTAACCGGAAAATGTTTGCTAAAAGATTCAGAATGCGAATTTGGTTGCGGGTATAAGGTTTCATGGGGATTTGGAGTTGAACTGGTTTCTGGGTACAATTTACTATGAGATTTCGAATGCGAACTTTCGATGTTATGCTGTTTATTTTGAGAATGTAATAATGAATTTGGTCGTGAGTTAACATGGGTATGAGGCGATGTTGGTAGCGAGTACAAGTTATCATGGAACTTTGGAGTTGAACTAGGTGCTGGGTACAATTTACTTTGAGAATCTGGAAACGAACTTGATTGTGGGTGAAGGTTCTCATGAGTAAAATAGTTATCGTGAGATTCTGTAGATGAACCGACGGGTGGGTACAAGTGGCTATGAGGGTTAGTTTCATCACTTGTATCTTCCGATCTATGAGGCGTAATTTTCGGTGTACTTTGAATTTCATGTTGAATCTGCTTATGTTTGATAACTTTTTTTGTTCCGGAGCATAGAGCCCGTATTCTATAGCGGTGACATTTTCCACTAAGTTGATGTTCGTTCCTACAAGCAAAGCCTGATTTAGGTCCATATTTTTCGAACACATCCCCAGTCCACGAAGCAAATTTTTTGCCAGACATTGCCTGAATTGCTACAACTTTTTGATGACAAGCAAATTGAGATGGTTCAAACACCTGTTCGTGATCGTCTGTGTGTATCCAGTCTGTCCAATAATGATGTGGTGAAATTTGAAAAGGGAAGTCAGTAGATGCTATTGTACCTGGGAGGCAAGAAAACCGAATTTGAATGAAATTACTCTTAGGTACTTCACGTAATTCGTATCCAAATCGATTTTCGCATGTATCTTCTGGTCGTTCGGCGAACGTGCGCAAAGCTTCGCGCCGAATGTTTACTTTGTGTTTGTCGGTGAACTGAGTGACAAACCAAGTTGTCCATACCGTGTAGGTGTCATATTTTTTTCTATAAAATGCTTGTTGGAATGACCTCCAGGGAAATATGTCCAAACCTTGTACACTATCACAACTGACCATTCCACCATATTTCCCTTCTTTCATAAGCATAGGAAATTTTTTCACAAATTTCATATCTTCGCCGACTTCACATAATACACTTGCAAAAGTCGTTTGACGTATTGCCGCAAGCTGTTCACCAGTGAAAGAGGAAGGGGCGTTCGCAAGTTCGTGCCAGAAACGATCACCTTTTCTTAAGGCCCGGAAGCCATATGCTAAAATGCAAGCAAACGTAGGCCCGACCTGTCCACCTTCCACTAGCTTTTCTGCCAGCCCGCCAGGAAATAAGTCAATGTCATCGACTGAATGGTATACTCGTTTCAATCCTCTTATGCTTTTTTCTGGAATTTCGTCTGACAAATCACTGAAACTGTTTGCTTTCGGTAGTCCACATATTGTTCTATATTTATTATATCCAGGTAATCCATGATCACGGCCTCTTTGAATATTTATTGCGAATAGGTCTTTTCCGAATTTATCCCCAAGTTCTGTGAATAGTTGGTTTCGGAGAGCATCGACCAGTGTAGGATCAGTTTTCTCTGCTTTATCAATAATGAAACCACGCAAAATTGCACCAGCTCCGCCTCCACGTTTTTCCAATTGGTGATCGTTAGTAAAAAATGTGCCAGCTAATGGAATATCGGGTATGGTTCCACGTTTGAAAAAAGAATTTGGCCGTGAGAGATTAGCAGCTACCTGGCTGTGGCCATACCGAAAGGCTGCCGTCGCGAATTCGTTGGTAATGGCCAGGTTATATTCAGGATCATATCCATTCCAGAAGCCGAAATCATCAACCGGTTTCAAATCGAATCTTTTCACCCATTCCGGACCAAGAAGTAAGGGAAGGTATTCTCTGTAAACGATTGATTGATAAATCGCAGATACAATTCGACGGGCTACATTGAACACTTCGTCGCTATCCCATCCCGTGTTTACTAGTTTTACATTTCTTGCAACATAATTGTGATACCTGGCCCAAATTGTAATAAGAGAAACAAGCCCTGGGTTTTGATTTGACAATACGTCACCAGCAACAAAACACGGTATATCTTTCGGCGTGTGAATCTTTACTGGACAAAACGTTATCTTAGAAATCTCTTTACTTTTTAACTGGTCTTGATTTGGAAGATTTTTGCGTGATTCACTCGCTGGATTTTCCACCAGTTTTAATTCCCCAGCGTTCGAAGCAGGGTCGCGAAGTTCTTTTGCTTCTTTGTCGGTTGTACCATAAATGAAAGTTAGGTCCAATGCACTTGAGAAGGCATTTATTTGTTCCCGTTGAGCAAATGTACATCCTCCAACACCGATAGCAGCTTTCGAACGAGCGAGTTGCATGCATTTTCTGTTAGCTTTCGTTTTTTGAATGTCGCCTACCGGGAGTTTAATGTTTATACAATCTTTTTTAGGCCGATCGCAGTTGCAGTCTAAATCTGTGCCGTTCTCGTTTGTAATGAAAGTCGTAAGTACGATATCGTGCACAACTAATTGTCCAAACGCCACATGCAAGTGTGAAATCTCACTTGAAAACGACTTTTCAGATTCTTTCAAGGCGTTTGACACAGACCTTGGCAACGGGAGTTTTCCAAACACACCATTTGATCTAAGTTTTCCACGGGAATCAGAATATTCAGCAGGCAGTAGACGGGGCAGAACTGTATTTGTAGCACCCCAAGTGGGATGCTTCAAGTTATTGCAGGTGCCATCCACTAAAGGAAACGGTTGATAAGAAGGACATTGAACTTTACGGGTGGTACATTGCTCAGGCTTGATTGCATGAGATTCGTAGTCATGGCCATACTCCCCCCCTAATGCAAATTTAACAAACAAGGCAACGATTACCACGCCTATCCTCATCATGCAACGTATCTTTGATAAATGATTGAACCGTGGTAAGGCGCTAAGATTTATTCAATTTGATTAACGGTCAGTTAAACGAGAGAATTACAGATTACATTTTTTCTCTACGCAAGTACACACGTATGCATTTAAGCATTTCTATAAATATTACTTATAACGCAGGTCTGGTAACGTACGTTACGATGATTCATTTAAACTTAAACTTTCTTATATTTTTATCAGCGCTTGAAACATCGCGGCAAACATCAGACATAAGCTGGATTCCTCGTGACTTTGTTAAATCACTATCGCTCACTAGTTTGCCGGCATTTAAGCAGATGATTGCAATCAAAAGCATAATATAAAACACGCATACAGACGGTAACAGGTTGAGTTACATAAGAAGATTCGACTCATACCTGCGCCAAAGCGAAAGAAATTTGTTTCTTTTTCTTAGGTAAATTTCGGGTCTCATATGACCTGGAAAAATAACTATTCGATTTCTAGAGGCTTCAGTCATCTTTAGGTACTGAAAATTCGAAATTGGTTTCTCGAAAACAAGATTTGAAAAAAGAGATACATACCATGTTTTCTCGAAAATAATACTTAGCATTAATTTTAAAAATAAGACCAAGTCGATAGCGCAAAATTTTTTTTGACTTAGCATAAAAGTCGATGGCGGGAAATCTTTCCTACTCGTTTTAAACGATTATTAATCTATGTTTAGCAGTTATTTTCAATAACAACGTGTTATTTATAAGTAAATTGATGTCGGTTTTCATATTTTGTATATTCGAAAATCTCGTATTTCTCTACTTTGTAATTTTGTTTTTAATGAATGAAAATAAAAGAGATCCCCCAAAATAAGCCCTAGTGTTATTTTTCGAAAGAAAATTGAAATAAGACAGCACCGTCTTATTTTCGGGGAACACGGAAGATAAACTTCGTGCATTTCTAAAATAATACGACGTTTGCTTGAATCAAGGCTCTCAAGCTTTAAAAATCCCTTGCAGTCATAACTTCCCCCTTCATTTTTCGGTAAATCTGTTTTTACCCCACTTACTCTCACCCATGAAAAATGTGACCAATTTTTATGATAAAACTCTTAAAGCATAATTGTAATAATACAGTAAATGTACAGTATAGCAAAATTAATAAAAATTCAAGTACAAGCACCGACCAGTATATATATAATACATGGTAGAAAAATTAAAATTGCGAATTCAAATTTGTACTATGAATTGTGACGTAACAGATGAAGAAACCATGATTTGTGTCAAGCAATACTTTCGAAATGGGGATATAGTCGGCATGTGTTGTGTAGACTGTAGAGGAAACATGGAGGTAAGAATGAAACCCAATTGCTAAGTAAAAAATCTTGTACATGTGTATAGTCCTTAGTTATACAGTATTTCACTGAACTAAAACTTTGGAATACAGATTAGGTTTAATTGAAAAATTTAGAGATTGTGATAAAGAGAAGAAAGCTGATAATCCCAATACTGATGCTATGCAGTCATCCGTCTGATAAATGGTTCTGCTCGGGTACGAGAATAAATAAAATATTTGCGTTAACAAATTTATTGGTCGAATGTTTAATTAGGTCTTGGAATTTTTGTTGAATTTATTTGATATACCCTTCAAATACCCGTAAAAAATGTCAAGTAATACTAAATTTTGTCACACAAAATTCCAAAATGACTTGATACAAAAACCAATTTTAAGACAAACATTATATTGGCTTGAGGCGAGCATGAAATTACGTGTTTTTTGCTATTGTTTCAGTGATAATTAGTTATCAGTCTAAGTGTACTGCAATGGTATTCTTCTAGAAATAGTAGCTTATGTATTAGTCCGGCAGAATCGGGCCTTAACATTGTTTTGGGACATAAAGTTTTTTTTATTGTTTAGATATAATGTATATGACATATATAATGATACCCAGGTGGGTGTGGAGTATATAATGTTGAGCAATTTTTTTTAAGTGGATTTAAAGTATTCGGCCCAAGATGACGCACATCCTGAATCCTAACTTGGTAAACATACAATGTTCAGGTTGTGCGCCATCTTGGTACGAATACTTCAGGAGCGCCTTTTTGTTAAAAACAATTATTTCATAACTACATGGTTTAGTTTTGCATACATGGCAACATTGAATCTCCTTACAATGTCAGAAATTTAATTTTAGTAGAATAAATGGTGGTTTATTTCACTAATACAAGCCAAGATCCATCGACAGCATCTAGCCACTTTCTATTGCGCTCTTCAAACTACATTTGCGTTGCCGCGCGCATTTCGTTTTCCTAGTTTAAGCTTAGGGACTTGGGAAATATTTTATTAGTTGAATTGGATTGGAATATTTGACCTCGTCTTTCACTCCGAACAAGGCCATGTAAAACCATCCACTGGTATCTAAAGATGTGTAACGAGTTTTCTTTTGGAAGAACCGCAACCTTTCAGTGCTGCATTGACTTTGGCAAAATTAATATATCCTTGTGGAGATAGAAGGTATGCGTATGCGAAACCGAGATGTGCGCCTGTTATGCCAACACAGTTGAGTCAAAGTTTTGAATACTAGTACATCACACACATCTTCCTGCGTGCTTCGGTTGTACGTAGTAACGCGCACATTTTTGCGCACATGTATCAAATTCCACTTGATTATTGAGCTATAGGTTAGAATTTGTATGCTGTTCTAAAGAATACTAGTTTCAGCTTTTTCATTCATTCAAACCTCGTGTTAAAAGTAAGTTTTGTAATATTGCGTGTTGGTTTCCAATATTCTTAAATCGGTGATGCCAGTAAATCTTAAATACAAAAAGATCAGTAACATCTGCAATAAAAACAGCAGTACCCTCTCAAATGACAGTTGGGGGATGGATACTCTTAGTATCTGCTCCATCGCGTGCCTCTTACAGTCTTACCAGTTTACATGCGTGTCAATTGGTATCTAAGCTCAGCCAGAGACAAAAAGTTTCGGACTGCAGTTGGCGTGACGAAATGTTTTTAAATATATATTCTACAATAAGATTATTTGATTGTATACTACTGAAAGTTCCGCCTTATATGTCTTTTCCCATTGCACTATTCCTTTACTGATATTCGATAATATGAAGCTCACTGACATAGTTAACATAGTTAAAGTGTGTAGATAGGTATAATCTTTTCCACGCTGTTCAGGTGGGAATGCGCGAATATATATAAGAATTGCTAATATTGGTTTGCAATGCGATGAAATCCCATCTTGGCATTTCTGCCTCTCGCAATTGCTGCGTATACTTATCGGGGAAGTTCTGTGGCGTGGTTATCAAATGAAAAAAAAAAAACATGGGAGTATTTTTTCTACTTCTCTACTACTATCAAACCTTGACATTTTGTGAAAACTTTTTTCCATGCAACCTTTTTATAAAACATCCCCAACAACCACAATTAATTCTGTTATTAAACTTCCGAAACAAACACATCATCAACAGATGCATATATCACCAAGTAGATATTGCTGAATTGATCTTTATTTTACCATTTTTCATGTAATTCTTTTTGGTAAACCTATTATCTATCGTAAATACAGCACATTTGACAATGTTGTAGTGTGCCACTGCTTTTTTTGGCCTCACATATTTGATATTTGTAGTTAGAGCTCTTGGGGCTCTGTCAAACAAAGTTACATACAAAATATTAGTTGTAAATTGCAAAACATGATCATGTTGTTGGAATAACTTGGCATTTTACCACCCGTATATCATTCATTGTTGAGAATATTAATAAAATCATAAAATTTAAAAATCCGTTCTTGTGAGAAATTTTTGTTGTAGCTAAATTCCAGGGACAGCATGACAACAGGCAAGAGAAGCACGGTCGCCTCTTTTAGTTTATGACAGGGTTTCTTAAAAGGGGACCCCGTCCTCCTTGGAGGCCGCTGATCGGTTATCTGGGAGCACGAACAAACAGATGGAAATGCGAATATACAATTACAATGTATTTTTATAGAAGAGAAGAAGCAAAAGTGTTGAGAGTCTTTGGTAGTTTGAAAAGCATTGGCATGGAACATAAGAATGAACTACATTCTTTCCCAGGGATATACTATGAAATGTAGCAATTTTCTCATGCTTGTTCTCGTGATATCATTATCTTTCACTGTGTCGTCGTGATCATCCCGCTGCCTAACAATTCTCGCTAACAAATAATTGACTGTTCTCCAGATTCAGATTTTATTTTCGTCATGCAAAACCAATATACGATATGAAAAAATAAAAAAAGACATATAACAAATTACGAAGACAGATATCGGCTTGTTGCAATAGACGAGGGATCGCGAAAGACTCAAAGAGTCATCCAGTCAGCGACACCTTGTAGCTGCATTGAAGCAGCAAATATAGCAACCGAACAACTCAATATTAAATAGTCACTAAATTCGACACAATCATATATATAAAAGGGACAACAAAAAGAATGCCACAATGACCACGAAAAGTTACCTAAACATTCACTTAATTAGCCTCAATCACAAAAAGGAACAACAAAGTTTGAAAAATAAAATACAGGATGTCATAATAACTATGGAGTATTAGATATTTACCTAATTAAACTCGATCATACAGAGTAAGAACAAAATAAAATCGAAATAAACACCGAGATACTACAATGATCACATCGTATTATATGACTTAACAGCGACATCTGTAAGAAGGATATGCCTCAATGACAACAAAGAATTGCGAAATAATGCTGACTAAGCATACACAGTAAACCAATATGGCGTGCCCAGCAACGGGCTTCTGGCTGCGAGAATCAATACCGTATTTAACGGATTTTATGTTGAAAGCGATTGTTAGTGGCTATTAGAGTAGTGCAGGATAATTATGGGTTCTGCAGTATTCGTGGCATATAGGTTGGGCGGAAAATATTAAAACAAGAACAGTACACAGCGAGCACACAACTTGACGAACATGGATGGGAAAAGCAGCACCACAGGGATAGGTACAGTACATACCGGTATACAAATATAATATTTCTAGACTAATTGCAACTGGGCTTATAAGCATCTAGGTATAGGCTCTTCAGTGCATGTTTATACAAGTTATAGGTACTGGTCCTAATGCTATTGGGGAGATTATTCCACAATTTAACACCAACAAACTTGATTGAGTTTTGGGTGAGTTTGGTGCTAAAACGATTTACATAATAAGAACTGCTAATAGAGGACCGTGTTCCATATGAGTGAACATTGCTTTGTTTTGAAAAATAGTTTGTGAACGCAGGAGGGAGTTTTTTGCAGTGGTGTTGGTGCATCAATTTCAAAACTTCTATTTTGTAAATGTCTGCCAATTTAATAATTTGAAGGTTATAATAAATAGGACTGAGTCGTGAAAAATAACTAGCGGCAGATATTGCACGGATTGCTCGGTTCTGCATAATTTCAATGCGATGTAATAATGTTTTAACAGCTGAACCCCAAGCAATTATGCCGTATTGGATATGGCTCTGGAATAAGGAGTAGTACACCATCCTTAGTGTTGTTGGTGATGTAAATCGTCTAAGCTTGTAAAGTATTCCAACCGATTTTAGATAATTTAACGGATAATTTGGATAAGTGAACATCCCAATTCATTTTACTATCTAAATATATGCCAAGATATTTATAAGAATGGACATTTTCAAGTTCTTTGTCATCAATTTGTATTACTGTTTCATTTTTAGATTTGCACTGGTGTGGAGATATTAACATAGTTTTTGATTTGCCAATGTTCAGTGTTAGTTTATTAGACCGCATCCAATTTGATACTTTCGCAATTTCAGAATTTACTCTCAACTGAAGAACTGCACAAGATTTGTCGCTGTCGAGAAGATTGGTATCATCAGCAAACAATTTGGTAAAGAAGGAGGAACAACAAGTTATGTCATTTACATAGACTAGAAATAGAAGAGGACCCAAGCAACTACCTTGAGGAACTCCGTGAGTCACTGGTAAGGGAGAGGAACGACACGACCCAACTTGAACATATTGTGATCTATTACTTAAATAACTAGAAATGAGTTTGTTTGCTGTACCCCTGATACCGAAATGTCTCAACTTGTAAATTAGGATGTTATGATTTACGGTATCGAAGGCCTTCCTTAGATCTAGGAATGTTGCACTGACAAACTCCTTCCTCTCTAGTTTATCGTAGATATATGATATTGTGTCTAAGATAGCATGTGATGTAGATAGATTATTTTGGAAGCCAAACTGTGATTTATTTATTACATCATGTTTCATAAAAAAAGCATTGAGTCGCTTATGAATCAAACGCTCAAATATTTTACTTATTGATGAAAGAATTGAAATTGGTCTGTAATTTGACATACATTTTTTATTGCCAGATTTGAAAAGAGGGATCACTCGGGCAATTTTGAGACATGCAGGGAAGATTCCAAACAAAAGTGAACAATTGAAGAATTCAGCCAAACATGGTGCAATGAGATCAGCAACTAATTTAAGGAAACGTGCTGGTATGTTGTCTGGACCAACTGCCTTCCTGTCTTTCAAATTATGTATTTCTATTATCAATTCATTTGTAGTCGCTGGGCTCATGAAGATGGACTGGTTTATACAATTGTGAAGAAATTGTTTAAAGCTATCCTGTTCAGTGGAAAACTTGCCTGAAAGGCTAGACCCAATTGTAGAAAAATACTTATTAAATTCTGTGGCAATCAAAAGTTCATCCCTAATTATAGAGCCATTTTCAATATCGATCTCGTTAACTTTTTGATTAGATTTATTTTTTACATGAGTGATTTCGTTAACTGTTTGCCATGTTGACCTAGGATTACCTTTGTTTTTAGCAATAAGGTTTTGATAATAGGTTTGTTTTGAATCATCTATGGCTCTAATCAAAACATTTCTATACTTTTTGAAATAGGAGCGTTCGGAAGTGTTCCCTTTCAAAAAGTGGGATTCAAACATCTTATTTTTGTGGCGAATAGAAGCAAGCAGCCCTTTGGTTAGCCATGGTTTTGATCGTAGCCTTTTTTGACGACGTGAGAGTGGTCGAAGCGGGGCGTGGCGATCAATCAGGTGAACAAAAGATTTTACAAATTCGCTGAAAACACCATCAAAGTTTTGGGAACTCAAATTGTTTCTAGCAATATAATTATGAAAAATTACTTGTGTATCTGTGCGAAAGCAATCGATCGAGAATTTTGACATGTCCCTTGCTATTTTGACATAATTTGTATGGGCTGGTTTTATGCCACTGAGGCAACACATAACAGGAAAATGGTCTGTTATGTCTGAGAGAACTACATGAGATTTGATTCTAAAATTTGAAATATTAGTATAAATGTGATCTATAAGTGTTGATGATGTACTGCTCACTCTAGTAGGCTTAGTGATTAATGACTTGGCATTGTGAGAAATTAACATATCGGCATAATTTGCAATTTGGGCATTAGTTGACAATGTAAGTAAGTTAATGTTAAAATCTCCTAGTATCAAAAACTGTTTCTTTGCCAATTTAGCAAGAGATGCTTCAAATGCATTAGTAAAGCTTGGAATATTATTACGAGGATGCCTATATATAACACCAACAATTATCTTATTGACTGCGTTGGCCAAACTTATTTCAAACCATATATTTTCACAGTTGGAGTGATTGAGATTGTAATCTGAAATTTCATTATAGATGAGATCGTTTCGAATATAAGCACCAACACCACCTGCTTTTGTGATGGATGGCATGTGTATAAAGCTATACCCATCAATATTAGTGTTGGAAACAGGGTTACACGATAACTTTGATTCGCTTATCGCAATTATTTGTGGAGGGGATGAGAAATTAGATAATAGGGTTGTTAATTTATCAATATTTTTTTGCAGGGATCGAATGTTCACATGGAAAATACAAAAGTCAGACAATGATTGAGAAGAATTTAAATCAACAACTCCTACATTATTGCACGTTTCAATGTCACAGGAATAAGCTAATTGAGGGTCGTTTGCTAAAGCCATGTATGAAATGTAAGAGATATTTTCTCCAGGCTGGAAATAAATGGCCGGTATTTTTGATATATGTTTGAGTAATACATAAAATTATTTTGACTATACAATGTATGAATATTTATAATCAATAGACCTACTTGATGAGAGAAAGGTCATCTTCGTTATTGATGGGGATGGTAGTTGTCATTTCGTTCTTTTTTATTAAAACTTTTCCATTATGTGTCCATAGATATTTATATCCACATTCTTTTTTAAGATCTCTTGCTTTAAAAAATAAGTCCTTGTTATTGTCATTAAGGTTTTCTATGATGAATATTCTAGTAGATCTTGTAAAATGCTGAAAATCTTCATGAAAATTGGCCGATCTCAGTTGGCGACGATTTTTTAGAATTTGATGCCTTGTTTTTCTGCGTACAAATTTAACAATAATTGGTGAAGGCTTTTTGTTGTTTTCTTTTGACATCCGGTGACAGTTTGATATGTCAGATGATTGCAGCGGTACATTTATTCGTGCTGCTACCTTCATAATTAATTTTTCACAATCTTCATCACGCGAGTAGGGTATATTGTGAAATTCTAAATTATCCAGCCTTGACCTACGCTCCTGGTCGTATTGGCGTTCAGTAAGGATATCTATTTCTTCTTCTAGTTCTTCCACAATACTTTCAAGTTGACGAATTCTTCGGGTGTTTTTAACTGTGATGGTGCTCAGTTTGTCATAATTGGCATTAAGTTCGTCAAACTTTCTGGCAATGAATTCTTGGCTTGTCTTTATTTCTCCAACCTCATCTTTAATGACATTGATCGAGGATAACTGAGTTTTCATTTGTTTTATAGATTCATCCAGAGATGATAGAGATTCCTGGATTCCAATGCTGGTCGGGGTGGTTGAAGAGAGATCCAGAGCTAATTTTTCAATGTGCTGTTCAATTATAGCCGGTATTTCCAGGCGCAGTGTCTTTAGAATTGTGCTCTCAAGTATGGAGACTAAATTGGATATATTGTGTTCTGTTAAGTTGGATGCTGAAGAAGTACATGCTGCTTGACGTTCAGTTGGACTTTTACGTTTCGGGGGTTCAGGAGGGGCATCGCTTGATCTTGAATATGGCATATTGTCCTTCCTTGAATCCACAGACAGTCAGATTGATGTTGTGAACAGATGTTATAGTTATACTCCACTGGGTGTATATCCACTTGAACCACTGGCATTAGCAGGCTTGTATTGTTAATTGCAACAAAAACGGGTATTTTGAAATAGTACTCTTTATTTTACGCGCATGTTTCGACAGTATTTCCATATACTTAATATGGGTCGCGACCCAAACTGGGCTCAACAAATACCTAAAAGTGATTGATTTTATTTCCTAGTAAATTTGGTGCTTGCGTAGTTTGTGCACCAAGATTGCGCACAACCTGAACATAGTATTGTAACAGGTTATGGTTCAGGTTGTGCGTCATTATGATGCACAGGTTTGACGAAAAACACTAATACAAATATCGAGCCGTACAAAAAAATGGCTCAAGGCTGCAAACTCCACACCCATGTAGAAATGATGGGCAATGACCCCAAGATGAATAATCACAAATAAAAAAACTTTATGTCTGAAATCAAACTTGGGCCAAAAAGGTCCCCTTATCTGCCGGACTATATGCATGGAGTTGAGTATGCATTTGAATTTTTGGCTTAAAATCACATAGATTATTAATTATTGGCTAATATTTTATGTGGCTAATATAGACAAAATCAAACAATACATATGATCAAAATCTTCAAAAACGGAAAAATATAAAAATGTTTTATGTGTTACCAGTTTTATCAAAAAATATGAAAATGTGTATCGGAAGCTTAGTATGGCATTTTGTATTCGTTAAAATTTAAAATATGTTGCACAAAAAGGATTATTATCATCAAAAAATTACATTGAATAGTGTTTGATAGAGTAAGTTTTGACCACTTCATAAAAGTATTCCGGATAAAGTACAAATAGGAAGTTATACATATTTTGCTATCACAAATTGTTTGAGTAATAATGAACAACAATTTAGGAAGAAATCCAACTATATCTCAGTTCAGAAATGGGAATTTGAATAAAAATACCCTAAAGCGGTAATAGGACTGGCCTAATAGCTTGAATATTTCATATTTGACATAGAATGGAATCATTATAATTACAAAAATTATTTGAATTTTTTTGAGTTTAATTTTGGGAAGAAAGGATATCGTAAAATGGCAGTAAACAGATGTCTGTCTTTCTATCAGAAAAATGCTTGGTGAGAATTATTTAAAATCAAATTTAGATTGATATTATTAGATAATGAACTTATAATTTCAAAAGGCTGTGCTGATCATGCATTATATTTTGAATGTGCGAATCAAACATGGTTATTCAATGAAAATCTGGTTACGCAAAAATATAACTTTACTAAATTTTTGATTATGGCCGGCCCTAGAAAAGCGTACCGAGCGTGCTGACATACGAGTTACGCCCGCTTCCCACTCTCGCGAGTAGAAACTGGTTTTATAATGTCACGTCACCTGGTACCATGATGATTCATTGTAACTTTGAACTTCTTACTGTTTTTAACTTCAAGTTATTAACAAATATACCTACAATTTTATAGGTCATGCAGATGGAACATCGCGATTCCTTGCGCGTGTGCGCAAGAACACGTCTACAGAAAAACTACCATAACTTTTTTAATAATACAAACGTGCTGGGCGCAACTTTGCATACGTACTAGGTTGCAAAGCAATTCAAGTACCTTAATAAACTGTTTGCATTGATTCTAATGGCACGTCATTTAGGCTTTTGAATCTATTAAATGTTAATTTCTTATATTCTGGAATATCTGTTCGTCAAGCGGTAATAATGACCTTACAATCAATATTGATACTTAAATATTATCGGAATATCAGGTCAGAAAATCGGCGTGTCGATATCGGATCAGTACCGGACAAGTAAGACAAGTGGGGTATGTTGGACAAGTGAGACACGTGAGACAATTAGGAAACGTGGGACAAGTGGTACACGACATTTTTGAGACACCCCCTGAGATGTATCAAATTTTTAGTGAAGGACAAAAGGGTGTACGATACGTACATTTTCAAAAGCTCCGATAGTTAGTATCATATTTATAAACAAAACGACAATGCTTAAATAAATGGACACAAAAGCAAAAACGAAATAGTACGGATATCTAATATGTCACAGTACCGGTACGCTACCGTAGTCATTTCGACTCTCCGATATGGTGTATCTCAAACAACGCAAACGCGGAACTGCCACAAGGTGCGCATTTTTTAAATTTCGATGACGTCATCGCACACAAACAAACGTATCCCATAGAGCCCACAGAAAATTTTGAACGTAGGAAAAATAAAAGACTTCTAGTGACAACAACAACCATCAGAGGAAATTGGTCCGGTCGTTGGAGACGAAGACGATTTTTTCACAACAACAATAACAACAACATGAAGAATACTAACAACAACATAACAACAAAACGATCCATATGTCCACTTCCTATCCAATAGGGATAATATTTTTTCATATCAATATATATCGTGAATATTTACGCAAAGGTACGAGATGTTAGAACAAAAGACATATCTGATTGTATAGTTATCCTAAAATAGGCTTAAAACAAGTATAAAATACGTTTTATGTGTATTTATAGTAATATTCATAAATGAGCTCACGATTATTGAGCTTCATTCGTTTGTTATCACCTGATCCATAAACAATGGTATTAATTCTGGCATCTTAATATATGTCGTAAACATTTACGCACTGGTACAGGAAGTAAGGACAAACGGCGTATCTGATTAAATATGCTTTGAAGACAAGGTTTGTGGATGCTTTGTGTTCAGTGTACATAAACACCATAACAATAAACACATATTTGACTTCGAG